TCTTATTCTTCTTATTCTTCTTATTCTTCTTATTCTTCTTATTCTTCTTATTCTTCTTATTCTTCTTATTCTTCTTATTCTTCCCAGGTCATGTGTGAACATCACTCATAGCATGGGGAGGTCAGCTCCTCTGGTCCTGCAGGCAAACTCCTCTGACAGAAGTGTGTCGCCCAACTCTGATAATGCAGTGCTTTACCTTCATAGCTCCCTGTACCTCATGTTTTCATTGTGGTGTGCTTTTCCTCTGAGTCTGCAAATCTCTCATTTAGGTAGCTGTAGACTCTGCCCCTCTGGTCTGAAGATTTAACTGCTCTGAAGTGCTGTGGATTTGAAAGCTGCAGTGTGTTTTGGCCTCCGGTTCCATCTCATTGCTGATGAAAAGTGTTTGTATACATTTGTTAAGTTAGCCTAAAAGTGCCTTTAAGTGAAGGAAATGTCAGTGGTTGCTAAAACCAATTTTAGATTGGACTGGATTGGCTTCTGCATGTTCTCGTCACTCACTGGCCAGGGAGCATCCATGATGTGCACCTTACAATGGTGGCTCAAGTTCAGGCTGAATAACCTCACTCTTAGGTAGGGATTGCAGACAGGAGAAGAAAGTTCTGCTCTTGGCTGTGTTAGTTGATGCCTTTTAATGCAAAATATTGAAACTATTCCCTTTACTGCCATTTGAGATAGCTTCCTCAGTTTCTTGAAGCTGTCCAGGTAAAAAGCCACATAGCTGCAGAAGTGAGCAGTGCCTCTGGCGCTAGGTTAGGAGGGTAGTAGTAAAAGGTGCAAAATCTCATAGGCACTGTTCTTAGGCTTTGTCTGTAATTTCTTTTTTTTTTTTTTTAACCTTTCATTGAAATAAAACAAAGTAGGTGGTGTTTGTTAGCTTTCAGAGAGGTAATACTTCATAAATAAGCAAATGTACCCCTGAGACTGCTGTAAAGGAAATTCTCTCTCAATCAGATGCAGTGATGGAAGGAGGGGAAGGACATTCTATGCACAAAGTTTTCCCCTCAAGTGACGGGCATTTCCATCTCAAACGTAGCACTTTCCAACATTTCTTAGAAACACTGTTAACCACTTCTTCTGTAAAATAGACAAGATTGCCCTATTGCAGCAGACAACTGAAAGTGGTGCAGCTGATCCCCAGCACACCCCTTTGTCCTCCTGAATGTTGCTCTCTGTTCAACAAGTGCAGTGAGGTTGTTGGGTATTTCCTAGATTGTTTTCATCTTCTGTAACCCCAGTTTTCTGCTTTCTAAGGTGTGTTCAAAGCTCTTGCTTCTGAAGGCTGATACATTTGCAGTATCTTGTGTCTGAGGTCCTTGTGTGTTGCAGGGAGTTACGAGTGTTCCAGAACCGTTGTTAAACAAGGCATCGTCCAGGCAGTGTAAATGAGACCAGGGCGTCCCAGTGACTTATCAGTGTTCTCACTCTTTCAGCCTGTTTTTTTCAGTGAGGTTGGTTCTGTTTGTGCTGATCAGTTGAATTCTGTTGAGAGGAATCTGATCTAAAATGCCTTTCAGGGCTCAGTCCAGAGCACTTGTGAGCTAGAGTTGATTGTTCTGAAAAACTTCAAAGGCTGGGCAAGGGCCTAGTAAGCTTTGGTCTGTCATTTCTTAACCTACTGTGATGTTCTGAATCTCCAGTTGCTGGAGTAGCTGTAACTTACGAGTGTAATGTTCAAATGTGCCACAACAGACTGTCTTACTCTTCTGTGGACCATTCCTTTCTTACTTACCCCAGGCTGACTCTGAGTAGCTAATGCTACTTAGTTGATGAGTAGCAAGCAGCCAGTGCAGTTGTGTTTGGAGTATACTTGGGAGTATCCCCGTTTTCGAGACTTGCCAGCTGATTTTTGGCACTGTTGCTTTGCTGTGAGTGTTGTTGCAATAAGAGGTTTCAACTTTTTTTAGGTTTTTCATAGACTCTAGAATGGCCTGGGTAGAAAAGGACCACAATGCTCATCTGGTTCCAACCCCCTGCTGTGTGTGCAGGTCACCAACCAGCAGCCCAGGCTGCCCAGAGCCACATCCAGCCTGGCCTGGAATGCCTGCAGGGATGGGGCATCCACAGCCTCCTTGGGCAACCTGTTCCAGTGCCTCACCACCCTCTGGGTGAAGAACTTCCTCCTAATATCCAACCTAAACCTCCCCTGTCTCAGTTTAAAACCATTCCCCCTTGTCCTTTCACTATTCACCCATCTAAACAGTCTTTCCCCTTCCTGTTTATACGCTCCCTTCAAGTACTGGAAGGTCACAATGAGGTCTCCTTGGAGCCTTCTCTAAGCCAAACAAGCCCAGTTCCCTCAACCTTTCCTCACAGCAGAGCTGCTCCAGCCCTTTGCTCATCTTAGTGCCCTCCTCTGGACCCGCTCCAAGAGCTCCATGTCCTTCCTGTGCTGGGGGCTCCAGGCCTGGACGCAGCGCTGCAGTTGGGCCTCACAAGGGCTGAGCAGAGGTGGACGATCACCTCCCTCTCCTGCTGGCCACCCCTGTTTTAATGCAGCCCAGAACACAGTTGGCCTAATAGGCTGCAGGTGCAAACTGCTGCCTCATGTCCAGATTATCATCCACCAGGACCCCCAAGGGCTTCTCCTCAGGGCTGCTCTCGAGGAGATCTTCCACCACTTTGTAGAAACACCTGGGATTGCCCTGGCCCAAGCGCAGCACCTTGCATCTGGCCTTATTAGGTTTTCACGGGCCCACTTCTCCAGCCTGTCCAGGTCCCTCTGGATGCTTCCCTTCCTTCCAGTGTGTCGACTGCACTGCTCAGCTTGGTGTCTTCCACAAACTTGCTGAGGGTGCACTCAGTGCCATCATCTGTGTCATTGATGAAGATGTTGAAGAGCACCGAGACCAACCCCTGAGTGACACCACTTGTGACCAGCCTCCACCCTGACACAGAGCCATTGATCACAACCTTTTGACTGTGTCTACTCAACCAATTCCTAGTCCATCGAACAGTCTGTCCTTTAAATCCACACCTCTCCAATTTAGAGAGAAGGATGTGGTGAGGGACCACCATGTCAAAGGCTTTGCAGAAGTCCAGTTAGATGACATCCATCATCCTTCCCCCGTCCACGGATGCTGTCACTCCATCATAGAACGCCACCAGATTGGTCAGGCAAGATCTGCCCTTGAAGCCATGCTGGGTTTTGGTGCTTTCCTTTCACGTGCTTGATACATGCAACATGAAAGGTATTCTCTGGGGAGAGGAAAAAAAAAAAGTCCTAAACTTTGAGTGTTAATATTGTACATGCTAGATTTTGCTATCTTTGAAGAAAGGGAAGTGGAAACCCTGAAGACTGTTCTACAGTTTTCTTTGAAATATCTCTTTAGTTTGTTTTTATTCATCTTGAGTGAGTAGTTTCCCAGCTTACATGAGGTTTATGAGTTAATTATGGTGAGGCAGGAGTTTTCTGTTGTTCAGAGACTGAGCCATGTTTCTGTTCCATGTCATAATTGCACTGAGTACCTTCTCCATATGCAGCTTTATGTGTACTGTTGATGCATTTTTTAGTTTCTTGCCTCTACACTGAATTAAAAGAAGCAAGTAGGAGAATGAGATAGGTGTTTGGACCATCAGCAGACATTCATCAAACCACCTAGGGAACTGCTGGGTTCAGAGGCAGGCAGCAGGATACAACACATTCAGCAGTTACCTCGGTCTTCAGCAACCATATTACTGACAATGACACGAGCTAAGTTGATTGATTTCAATTTGCAGTATGCCTAAGGGAGAAATTCACTTTCAGGGTGGTATATGGGAGTAGTCCCGTATCTCTTTATTTGCTGATGGCTGATCTGTTTCTTTGTGTGTTGCAGGACCTGTCTGGTTCAATAGATGATCTACCCATGGGTACAGAAGGAGCCCTGAGCCCTGGAGTAAGCACATCAGGGATTTCCAGCAGTCAAGGAGAGCAGAGTAACCCAGCTCAGTCTCCTTTCTCTCCACATACCTCTCCTCACCTGCCAGGCATCAGAGGACCTTCCCCATCCCCTGTTGGTTCTCCAGCTAGTGTTGCTCAGTCCCGCTCTGGTCCACTTTCACCTGCTGCAGTACCAGGTAACGCTGCTTGGCACCTAGTGATCTTTTGGTTCAATTCTCTCCTGCACGTAGAGACAGAATTAAGATGGTCAGCAGGAAGAAACTGGCCAGTGTCAATATTATGTGGCTATTAAGAGCTTGTGATCTCTTTTTTTTTTCCTTTTTTTTTTTTTCCCTTTGCAATGCCTGTAACATATACTGAATGCAGTCACATGAATGGGATAGCTGACAAACCAGCATTGTCATTTTCTTGGGTTAGTGTGGCTGATCTTGCTCTTGTTTTTCTTCACTGTGGCCAAAATGCCCTTGTGAAACTGTTTGTAGTTCTGGTTTTTAACGCTCTTGCATCCTTGATTTTGTGATAAGCAATTCTTGTGATTAACCACTCTCCTTTTTGTGGTGCAGGCAATCAGATGCCACCACGACCACCCAGTGGCCAGTCAGACAGCATCATGCATCCTTCCATGAACCAGTCAAGCATAGTGCAAGATCGAGGTGTGTGGTTTGGGCTGTGGAAGTTCTAACGATACAAATCTGTTTATAAAGCTAGATAATGTAGCTAAAAATTACCTGTCCTGGTAACATGAATTCTGTGGTGAATAGCATCTAAAGGCTGTGCCAACATTTTAAACTGCAAGTGTTTCAGCTCCTGGCACCACATTCAGCTGTGTCAGTGGTCCTTTGGCCTCTGAATGTTAGATGCAAGTTTGTTGTTTGGCTTGTGAGATGTTTCCTCTGGCTTTTCCAAGGCTTTTCTACAAATGTTAGTTGCCCAAATTCTGTGACCTTAAGCTTCAAAATGAGGGGTGGTCATAACAATATTGGTTGGCATTTCCTTATATGAGAATAGGGGAAAATGAATGTATAATGTCAGTCTGAAAGTATGTAGATGTCACTCAGAGAAAACAAGCAAGCAAACAAAAAAACACTCTGAAAATGACAGATAATCCTCAGAATTTGCCAATTTACTGTCAGTTCCTGTAATGCTAAGTTCTTTTTTTTTTCCTTGGTTAAAACAGGAAATTAAGTATGTTCTTAGTGGCTAGGATTACTAGCAACGACTGTAAAATGTGCGTCAGTTGGTGCTGGCAGGGTTCTGTTAGTGGCTCCTGTGGACTGTTGTTGCTTGAGACACGTGTCCAGTGGCACCTCTGAGTAATTTGCTCACTGGGTGCTCCTCTCCCCGGGTAACCAGGTTATTTGCAGAGGAATCCTCAGATGCCCCAGTACAGCTCTCCCCAGCCCGGCTCAGCCTTATCTCCCCGTCAGTCTTCTGGAGGACAGATGCACGCTGGAATGGGGCCATACCAGCAGAACTCCATGGGAAGCTACGGACCCCAGGCCGGGCAGTACGGACCTCAAGGTGAGGCATGGGGAGCTTCTCGAGGGGAAACTGAGCGCAGCAAGTGGGAAAGGCCTCTGTCAGTGGCAACATCTTGTCTTTGGAGAACGTGTTTTGAGTTGTCTGCTCTTAATGCGTGGGTGATGCAAAAGAGTCCACTCCTTATGAGGTGGAACAGCTTGTACTTTGAGTATTATGCTGAGATTCATGGCAGATGTTATTTGAATGCTAGTTGTAAATGAAGGATCCCTCCTTCTCTCTTTGAAAGATACAGGCAACACCTCCAGTGTGTTAGAGAAGAGCCAGATAACTTCAGAGGGGAAGAGAGCTGTGTGTTACATGTTTTGGAAAGGGTTGAGTGAGTTTATTTACATCTCGTCCTGGACCTGATAACGTGAATTCTGTGGTGAGATAGCATCTGCAGGCTGTGC